AGAGCTTTGATCATCCTACCAACACATGGCTCCCTGGAGCGAAGCTCGGATACAACAAATCGACGGGACGAGATCGGTTCCTCACTTCGTGGAGGAACCCAGAAGACCCTTCACCGGGAATGTTTACTCTGGAGATCGATCCGGATGGCGTCGACCAGTTCTACCTTTTGAGGGATCGGAGACATCGCTACTGGACCACCGGTGTTTGGACTGGAGAGATATTTACTGCCATCCCGGAGATGAGATCGAACTACTTCTTCAACTTCAGCCATGTTTCCAACATGATTGTGAACGAGTTCAGCTTCTACGTCCGTGACAGCGCCGCCATACACAACTTTATGCTGGATTTCACTGGTGAAATGAAGAGGCAGAAATGGGATGCGGAGGCCAAAGTGATGTTGCAGTTCTGCTCGCTTCCGAGGGATCCATGTGATGTGGAAGGTCGCTGTGGGCCGTTCGGTAGCTGCAACAACTTCAGCTCTGCTCCCTGTCACTGTTTGCAGGGATTCGACCCACGGTCTTCGAATGAATGGACCCTGGGAGACCACACCGGAGGGTGCGTCCGAAGAACCCCTCTACGCTGTGGGGACAGAGATGGATTCCTCGTGTTACCCAGCACGCAGCCGCCGGCCAACCCCGTGCGGATGTCTACCGTCGGCGGTCGTGAAGAGTGTCGAATCGCTTGCTTGAGGAATTGTTCTTGTACTGCTTATGCTTATCACTCCGAGTGTTCGATTTGGCAGGGCGACCTTGTCAACCTCAAATATTTGGGTTCGAGCAACGGAGCGAAACCAGGAGCTATTTATCTTCGTGTTGACGCTTCAGAATTAGCAGATACAACAGATCATAAGAAGAGGGAAAATACAGCGATGATTGTCGTCGGTGCAGTGTCAGGTGTTGCTGCTATCGCTGTCGTCGTCTTGCTTTTGGCCTTGAGATACCGCAAAGGGGCAACCGTCGGAGCTTCAGGAGGTGTTCAAGGTCCTCTAATTGCATTCGACTACAAGCTCATAAAAAAAGCCACCAAGGGCTTCACCGAGAAACTCGGGCGAGGAAGCTTCGGGTCGGTGTTCAAGGGAGAGATGCCGGACTCGGGCGCCATAGCGGTGAAGAGACTGGAGAGCATGAGGCAGGGGGAGAAGCAGTTCAGGATGGAAGTGAGCACCATCGGGACGATTCACCATGTCAATCTGGTCCGTCTCCGTGGCTTCTGCTGCGAAGGTGACAAGAGGCTGCTCGTCTACGACTACATGCCGATGGGCTCATTGGATTCCGTTCTGTTCGCCGATGGCCGCGAAGCTTTGGACTGGAAGAAAAGGTACCGGATCGCGCTGGGGATCGCAAGAGGCTTAGCGTATCTTCACGAGAAGTGCAGGGAGTGCATCATGCACTGCGACATCAAGCCGGAGAACATACTTCTCGACATGGACATGTGTCCGAAGATCGCCGACTTCGGCATGGCCAAGCTGCTGGGCCGTGAGTTCAGCCGGGTGCTGACGACGGTGAGGGGGACCTTCGGGTATCTCGCCCCGGAATGGATCACAGGATCCGCCATCACTCCCAAAGCAGACGTTTACAGCTTCGGGCTAATGCTGCACGAGATTGTCTCGGGAAGGCGAAACACGGCAAGGTGCGAAGAATGGAATCGGCATTACTTCCCTCTCTGGGCTGCAATCAAATTGCAAGAAGGCGACACTCTCTGCTTGCTGGATCCGAAGCTGAAGGGGAAGGTGGACGAGGAGGAGCTGAGTCGAGTGTGTAGGATTGCATGTTGGTGCATTCAGGATTTGGAGTGCAGTAGGCCGAGCATGGGAGAAGTGGTTCAGCAACTGGAGGGAGTATTAGATATCCGCATGCCGCCCATCCCCGTCTTACTTCAGAAGCTACTCGACGATGACGCGTCGGCTGGGGAAAACTACTTCAGCACCATCTAGCGCACGTACTGGTGGTTGAAGTTGCCATGGGAATAGTTGGCAAAGACCTCATAATGAATAATAATGTTGTACTAAGATAACGTGTCTTATATGCTCTGTAGTAGCGTCATGGTATTGTAATTCTGCTATGCGCTTTGATCGAAGATCTTGTGCACATAGTTTATTTATCCTACTATATTGTTCATATCATGAATTTGTGTTTCTTTGGTACCCATAGAAAATAAGGGGACAAATGGGTTAGAGTAAATGGAGGATTTAAATTACAAGTATCTTTTAAATTGAGAATGTTGAATTAGGTTGGAAATCAATTTTTAGGCTCGTAATTGAATAAAAATGACAATTGTTGGTAGTTATCATAATGCAATCAAGATTATCGCGCATGGATATTTTACAATTTAAAAAAATGAATAAAAAGTTAAAACTCCTATGGAACTTTACAGAGAATAGATTTTAATTCTTCCAGTTTTTGAACTTAATTTTAGAAGACCAAACATAATTTGGATTAAACAACAATCCAATAAATGAGGAAAAATTATAATCAAGGAAGGCTAATCGAACTAAAATTCCTAAATTTTGAATAAAAAAATGCGATTACACAGCGATCATCGAAAACTTCGATCAGAGTAGGAAAAAAAGGGAAAATAAAAATGCAAATTTGAGCTCTCAGTGATATGGCCAATGTTTTCCACAGACGAGAAGTTCCAAAAGAGGATCATCACTCCCGAAGGAACCCAATTGATGGCAATCTTACCGTAGCCCTCACACCTCCCTCTTCGGGGCGGGGAAGAGAGCATCCTCCAAAGGGAGATTTCCCCTTTCCCCCCGAGAAGAGGATGGTGATCCCGGAGCACCGGCAAGAAAGGGATCAACAAAACCGGGAAACCGCAGGAAGAGGACCATCCTCTTCTGGCTTCAGTTTCGGTGTGGTTAAAGCAAAATAAATCATCATCGAGCTCCAAAATGGCCTATTCTAGGAAAATAGATCGGCCCTTTAGCGATTCATTATAACAAAACAATGTAGAACCCACGAGAAAATGCGACGATCCATGAATACTTGGATGTCGCACGTCCATAGGCACCATTGACATCGATCTTGCATCTCTTCATCTGACAGTTCCTGGATCGACGGTAATCGAATCCGGGTTTCTGAGACTAAAAAGAAGAGTGCAGAAAAAGAATGAAACAAGCAACGCAACAAAACAAGAGAAACGATCAATGAGAGAGGTACAGAGAAGGCGAATCCAAAACCGGCGAAACATACATCGGGCGCTGGAATTCGAAGATGAGGAGGAGAAGAGGGGCATAAGGGGATTGCGCCGAATTAGGTCGTCCTGATGGTATTTGTAATCCAGGAAAGATTAGGGTTCCGCCGGAGAGGACCGCGCTATCACCATCCGAAATTACCAAAACGTCCTCCACGCGTGTATTACCACCACCACGCTTTGAGATGCACATATAAATATCATTAGGGTCATCAAGATTTGTGCTCGATCAACCACATCGTACGTGGGCTTCTATTCGGGCTAACCCAACCCAAAAAGCAATTTGACAGAACGTATTGTTGTCCAATTAATGCTTACCAGAAGGAATTTTCCGCATACAAAGTCTGAATATTTATATTTGCCATTGCAAATTATATATATATATATATATGCAATGTTGACTTTGCAGAAATAGTTATTGTCGATTTCACAGTTCAACAGTTAAGTACAAGTTCTACCTAAACTTTCCTTATACAATACCCATGACGTGACATGTAGCATATGTTCTTTATGTGGATTCGAAGATGTGATATCAGAAATATGTATGCAACATTGACTTTACCAGAAATATGTATTGTTGAATTCGCAGCTTGACAGTCAAGTACAGGGTTGTACCTAAACGTCCTTATACAATACCAATGATGGCCTATACTTGCATGAGTTCAAATTAATCCTCTCATCTGCTCGCATAAGCCACACGAAACGCACATTTTAATTCAAATGGATTCAAGATCAAGTGGGGAAGATTTGGTGAACAAGTACAGCAAGAAGAGATCGGGAGGTACGAGATATCTTTTGTTAATCGGTGGAAAGAAGTCTCCCAACTACTATCATTGCATTTGCTGTGCAGTACGTACTTTGAATAGTCCCTGGAACTTCCTTGAGAACGACCACCATAAAAGCATACCACAACACATCTACACCTACTCAGATATTAGACAAAATCAACCGATGTTTTGGATTACTTTTGACCAAGTTGTGGATCGCAAAGATGCCAGGCTTCTTCTTCTGTCGACGACTTGTGTTCAACCAGGCAATGAGTGCACGCCAAGTACTCATATGAGCTTCTCCATATTGAGTTCTTGTAGGATTTTTTTTTGCCTACACAGAAGGAGCATCTGCGTTATACGAGTCTGTCTATCTCTAGTTCTTCTTCAATCCCAGTTTGGTAGCCATTTGTAGTTTGATTAATAAACCAGCAATAGAAACTGATAACAATCTGCAGTGCTATAAATATCATGATGTGATGATATGCTGAAACATGAAGTAATGATGCTGAAAAGTCATGATGTGATAAGATGTCTGCCAGAATGGATATCAATCTTCTATCCAAGCGTTAGATTCTGAATCCCTTAGGTAGCATGCATTAAATATCAATTACAAGAAAGCAGCAGCTGAGTAGATTGTACATCACTTTTTCTACCTCAAGTCTCAAGGTAATTAAACTTATTCAACTGCTTCGCTCTTTCTAGTCCAATGTCTGGTGAAATGCATTGAGACTTTGAATAGGAATTGGTAGCCTACTCCCAATATTTTTTAGTCTTACATGATCTTGATTCTGCCTAACAACCCATACAAATATTAGGAGTTCCAGCAAGTTCTTGTTTATTCTATTGTCCGAAAGAGATGAAGTAACGCTAGTAGCTGTGGTCATCAAGCTTCTCCAACTCAGATCCTGAAGTAAGGGTCTTAGCAAAGAAAGCAAAGGTAGATGCGATGGATCTATCGTACACCTACTCACTAAATGACTACCTTGGTCACAATTCTCATTTGCCACTGTGGTATCTGCAACAGGTTATAAAGGTAGGTAGCCATGCATTTCTGGGTCTCTCAGTTTCTTAAAGCTCGGAAGCAGAGAAGAAAGAATGGGGAGGAAGCCATGTTGTGAGAAGGTGGGGATGAAGAAGGGGCCATGGACTGCTGAGGAGGACAAGAAGCTGATCAACTTCATGCTTACAAATTGCCACTGCTCATGGAGAGCTGTTCCAAAGTTTGCAGGTTAATTATATGTGCTTCTTCCTCTTCATTGTTACCGTCGGCTAGCTTTCTTGCACTAAGGCTTTCGTCTTCTTTTCCTCTTTGGTTGTGTTCTTTGCTTATCTGGCTATCTTGTCTTACATTTCTGGGAACCTGTAATGTAGCTTGAGTGAGCGTCATGGAATAATGAGCTTTTTATCATCCAAAGTCGATAACAGTTGAGTAAGGAAAGATCTTGATGCATCGTAGTGAGGTCCTATAATCCAATCTTGTCACATCTTAAATTATATAGAGGAAATCACTGTGAGGATCTTGATCTCCCGAATGGTGTGAAGAACTGATAGAAGAAGACCTGCAGTTCTGTGTCTCAAAAGTTCATTGAGATGTTTGATGTGGTCATTCTATCTATGAGACCTCAAAAAGCTTAATTCCTTTTTGTCAATGATGAAGGTCGCCATCAATGTCATATTCAAATGTTGCTGTTAAAAAAAGGGTCATATTAGGTCAAAGGTACATAGCTTTCTCTTTGTGTTTTGGTAGATGTATTGCGTAATGGTTGGGTGACATTGTCATAGGCCTTCTGAGGTGTGGGAAGAGCTGCAGGCTACGATGGATCAACTATCTGAGACCTGATCTGAAGAGAGGCTTGTTATCTGAGTCTGAGGAAAAGCTGGTCATTGACCTCCATGCCCAACTTGGAAACAGGTGCCCTCTCTCTCTCTCTCTCTCTCTCTCACTCTCTGTTATCATGTATCCTTTTGCATTTGCATCACAGGTGGTCCAAGATAGCTTCTCATCTTCCTGGAAGAACAGACAATGAGATAAAAAACTACTGGAACACCCACATCAAAAAGAAGCTGAGGAAGATGGGAGTTGACCCCCTTACCCACAAGCCCATTGGTACCACCAGCGAATGCCATGATCAAGCACTGCCACTGCAGCAGACAGTTGACGTAGCTGAAGGATACTGGGAAGTGGAAGAAGAAGAGGAAGAAGAAAAGACCATGACAAGCTCAACCGAGTACGTCACGGAGATTGATGCTTCTCTGCAGACATCGCCTGGTTTCTGCATTGAGGAAGTGCCTATGATGCAACCCCATGAAATAGTGATTCCAGAGGCATCCACCGACGACACCTCTTCCAGCTCTTCTTCTGGTCGTTCGCCGAAGACTGATGAACTTCGGCTTTCAGCAATGGAGTGGCCAGAATCCATGCACTTCTTCCCGATGGATGACTACGGTGGATGGAGCTTCAGCTCCGATCATATGCTTGAGCATCAAACCGCTACCACCGAGTATGATCCATGGAAATGATGGTCAACTGAACAGATCAAAAAGGCACATATATCAACATGAACGAGAGGATCATGGAAGGAAATAAAGATACCTCTGGTCCACGGTTCGTGCTTCAAGCCGAGCACTGACTCGTGATACACTGTGTTTCTAGGTCATCGTTGATTTTGTGCATGTAAATTAGCTTGACTGGGTGCAATCATGCTTGTAATGTACGATGTCAGACACGAGTAAGGATTTGGATGGTTTGATGAGTTGGAAAGAGGTGTTTAATGGGAATCAAGCTGTCATCGACAGGTTAAGATGTAAGGATCAAACTCTGACGAGGTTTCTGCTGATGACTCTGACTTGACGTCGGAGGACGATCCATCAGTAGCCGTTTCCGGTGGAAGTCAAAGAACAGGAAGGTGACAGAGATTGGAAGCTGAAAGAAGAGGAGATGCAGACGTATCACCAAAAGATGTGATTCGTAAATCATGCCTTCACCTAACAAAAATTTAAATGCATAGCTCCGATAGACTGTTAAAAGTCAAACCAACCACATATTTCTAATGTGTTTTGGTGAGAAGAAGACACCCTTCTTTTTTGGTCAATTATGATTTGACTTTTAATTAACATTAGTATTTACATATTTTATATGGTTTATATGTTAAATTTAATATTGCTAGTATAAATCACTGTTAGAAGAGATTAATTTAAATTTGCTAGATGCATGCTAAATGTTAATAATGGAGGGACATATATGTGTTATATATCCAAGTAGGTGAGGGCAAATGTGTTACAGCTGGTTTATGCAACAAGTAATAATAGGTTACATGGGAATTGAGATCACTGTTAAATAAATATTAATTGCTAATCAAAATATAATTGCAAGTAATGACCGTTACCATCTGAGGAAAACTGCCGAGAGTTGACATTGATCAGCATCTGATGACTACATCTTTTTCTCGACCTTTTTTGAAGTTCGATTGAACTACTGCTGACAATGTTGAGTATAGAAGAGTTCCCATCGTCGACACTGAAAATTTCATGCTATCCCTCCTGTCCACAATAATTCAACTCAACTTCATCATATAAGATCTAAATCATTGTGTTAGGGAAATCTAAACAGAAGAAACATAGTCTCTAGCCCTGTTTCCCTTTCCTTTTATTTCGGAAAAAAAAAAAGGCCAAACCAATAATATATCATTCATGACAATCTGAACTGTTTACAAGACACATCAATTAAATTGGCTGAAAAGGATAACTGAAAATGAAGATAAATGTCTAAAATGTATGCCTGTGACATATTCCAAAATGTCTAAAGGGTAAGTTACCCTACCAAACATACAAGTACAATCAAACTATGCGAGACAGCATTTTGCAGATAAATGTTCTTTGGCTAGTAACTCACGAATCCGTTAGATCCAAAAATTAGTCAGGACATGTTCTTTAGCAACTTGGAAATCGATCGTATGGTGCAAGGTGTTGTTCGACAGCATCCTCCAATAAGACTAGCACCACATTCATGCCATCTTTTTGCAAGAAATTCAAAGCTCTTTTCACCGACACGCTCTGGTTGCTGCCAGGATCAAAAGACACGATCTAAGTTGCAGGAAAGCAAAATTGAAGTGCAAAGCTTTCTGATGTCAAATTATTTACAATTCACAAGTATCATACAGTTTTTTTCTGAGATATGCAATATATTGCCGCAAAATTGTTGCATATCAGAAGCCAAAAGTAAAAAATTTTCATCTGAGGGTGAGAATTTATTTGCTGGATCATTTGATGTTTGATCTTTAGAACAACCAGTACCCAATCTACAACAGTTTGATTGCCAAAATGTTATAATGTCCGAGGTAAAGAAGCAAAGATCTAGCTGCAAACCTGCTCCAAAATTCCATCACTATCTGATGCCACTTGCTTTCAAATGCTTTACTTAGCATACTTCTTTAGGAAACAAAACTTGTATTTGATGTTTTATATGGTAACCCCCTAATTGTCAAGGATGAGACAGATCTTTTTTCAAATGCAAGCACGGAGCAACACTAACAAGGGAATACATTTGTTAAGCCTGTCCTATCAGCAGCATTGAGTCACCTCTGATCCTTGTACAGTGCCTTGTGAAAACCTAGCTTTTGAACTAGAGAAGTACTTGAAGGTTCAAGACTTAAAGAACATGCTGATGCTTTACTTGAAGAAGCACAAACTTAAGACCTATGAACTTGTTAGGTGCTAAACACCATAGCTTTTGCTCTTTCACATTTTTGTTTTATTAATATATACAAAAGCCAGCTAGCCTTTGACCATAGCATTTCAAATTTGGACCATTCTCTTTGAAAATGTTCATGTAATTTCTTTAGTTTCTTTTGCTATTCTAATGTCATATTTATAATTAAATAGATTTTCATAATACTCATCAAGTTTCATTCATTTTCTGTATCAAATGAAATTGGATGAATCCTTCTCTTTATCAGGAAAACTCATGAACAAGAAGATCTCTCTACCATCTCAAACAGAATACCTCCTCCATGAATTTAAATATCAGGCTTGTGATTTCTAATGAGATAAATAGTTTCTCTTTCCTTTGGGATATCAGAAAAAGGTATACTGAGGTCTAATCTTTTCTTCTCTTTTTAATTCACTTGGCATAAATCATCAATCAGGATAATATATTTCCACAAATCCATCAGGCTGATTTCAATATATCTTTCAAATTTGTATAAGAGAAAAACTCAAACATATAGCAAACTTCAGAACTGATATATTGAAATCAATATTAACATCATTAACAATGAGCTGGATCTTTAAACAACAATATTTCCCTCATACATTCTTCAAGAAGCCATGACAACTAATCATGATGATAACATTAACATTTCAATGATCACTGACATACTAATTTCTACTAACTCAAATAAAAAAACAAGAACCTTTTCGGGTAAGTTTAAGATCATAACAAGATTCAATAAGTTGGTAAATCTGTAGTAGGTAGCATAAGAGACTTACCAGCCATCTTTTAGCCCTACCATCCCACACTTCACCACTGTTTGGATAAACAGCCAACAGTTTGTTTGTTAACTGAAAAAGAATAATTATTATATGAAAACTATTAGAATAAAACCAGATAATCAGAACCACAGACAAACAACATGATTTGAAATTTTGAACGACCAAACTAAAAGTTGCAGCAACTCCTGACCTTTTTAAATTTAAGAATAAGGTTCTCTATAAACTGTGGTGATGCACAATTTATCCCAACAATGTTGACTTTTTCATTCCTATTTAATATGTCAAGACATTCTTTAAAGTCCTCTCCAGAAGACATATGTTCACCATCCACAGAGCTGAAACAGATCCAAGATGGAATTTGGATGTTTTCTTCATCAAGAAGCTCAGCTAATGCCTGCAAGCAGCTACATGTTACTAATGATTTTATTAGAAAACGAAAATTCTATAAAATCAACAGCCATGATGACAACTTGTCAGTACTACTCATACAATGGACATTATACAAATATCAGGAGAAAAGAATATGTTCATTTAAATAGTACAAATTACCACAATGCCCAAAATAAATGTTCGTCTTGGTCATTGTTGAGACTAGAGTGTTTACACTGTTTGTCCTGGAATCCATGTAATCATCGATAATTTCTCCCTTAACATAAATTAATTACGATAAATGATGTATTACTTTATTACTAATTTCTATATCTGTGTACTTTAGTTAAGGAAATAATTAAATTTAGTTTCCTTAATCACATGGATAAGTTAGGAATTCTACTAATTAATTAAATTATTAATTGATTTATTTCCCAATGAGTGATTTTATATTTAGGAAGTAAATAGTTTATATTCCATTTTTGTGTGTGAACAATAAGAGATGAACATTATATTACTTTCTTGTGAAAGCAAACGAAAAATAAATTAAAAATAAAAATTAAATTATTACTTACCTTTCGGGAAGATCTCATCTTCTCCTATATAAAGGGTTACTTCTCCCTCATTCTCCACTAAGCCTAACAATGGGAGGATTGAGGAAATGACTTCCTGGAAAGATGATATTGAGGAAGGGATAATCGAAGAGAGGTAGGATCCTTTTTTTTTCAATTAGCTTTGATTTATGTTTTGAAATCTTGATATTGAGATTATTATTATTTTATGATGCATAATGATGTTTTACTTTCGAAATTTCATGAGTAGAAAATAATGATAATTGATTTGTGATGTTATAATGATTATTTGATTTATCTCAATCTCTTGAGCTTAAGTGAATTTTAATATTGATTTAATTACTAAATTCTTATTTTTGGAGTAGCATAGTAGGTCTAATTTATTTAATTAGATATATCTATGTTTCAAGAATTATGTATGAATTTCTATAATGTAATTAGTTTTAAATTTAAGATCATGAATTTAAAGTTTTAATTAATGAATTTGAGTCATTCATTAATAATTTTAAATGTTAAAATCTAATTTGATAAGAGAAGTCTAATTGGGGTTTGACTTGAGTCAAGTTGATCGATCAGATCGAATCGACTCAACCCATGTGGTCATGTACGACCTAGCTCATGTGACCAAGTACAACCTAGCCCATGTGACTTGGCATAACCCAACCTATGTGGTCGGGTAGAAGCCAGCCTATATAGCAAGGTACGACCAAACCCATGTGGCTAAGTACGATCTAGTCCATGTAGTCATGTATGACCCAGCCCATGTGGTACGGTACGACCCAACCATGTGGCTAGGCATTGGTCAGCTCATGTGGCTAGGTACGATCCAGTCCATGTGGTCATGTATGACTCAACTCATATGGTAATGTACGACCCAACCATCTGGCTAGGCATCGGCCAGCACATGCGATAGGTGCGACCCAATCCATGTGGTTAGAGACGACCCCAACTCATGTGCCTAGGACCAACTCGCGAGCCAAGCAAGGTTTAGTTTAATGGCAAGGTTCATCCCAACTTATAAGTGAGGCTTAGCCTAGTTCATGAAGTTAAGCCTGCCCAGCTACACGATTGGCATTAGACATATAGTCGCTCCTTTTATATAACCCGTCGTACCTCAACTCAACTTAGTACTTCGAACATGTATATGTAGTGTATGTGGAATAGGTATATGCAATGTATGTGACCCGTCCAAGACTCAGGTGGGTTGGTTCAGTTTGGGTTAGCACTATACGAGATAGTCCAATTTCCTCTCTCTCTATTGGTTCGAGCTCATTAATTGACTAAATCAAATAGGTTTGATTAGTTAAAGCCGGTTTAGGGTGATTCCACGCTAACTTGACTAGTTCAAATCTATTTGACCTAATCGAGATCAATCAAATCTAAATTAGACCAGTCTAGGGTGATTCTAGACTGGTTCTATAAGGATTTGATATTAGTTATGTTAGATCATAATCGAATTGAGTTTGGCTTAGGTCAATTGAGCTATTTCAATTAGAGTTTGGTTGATTGAGGACTATTGAGATATTGATATTTCATGCTTTAATGATTTGATGATTTTAAAAGTTTTATCTGAAGATGTCATTTGAAAATAATTATTGATTTTCTATTTTCTTATGTTTATGATATTGATATGATGAGTATCATGTAGTAGATGTAACTAGACCAGTGATTTAAAAAGGCGCTCGGGCGAGCTGAGGCGAGGCCCGAGCGCCTCGCTAAACTTCCAGGCAGCGCACTTCAAAGAGGCGCCGCCTAGGCACTCGCCCGAGCCCAGGCGCTGGGCGCTTCGGGCGAGCGCCTCGGTTAAACCAGGCGACCGAACAAGGATTTTAGGTCTGGTTTGGTCTCCGGTAGTTAGTTGGTTTAATCGAACCAACTAAAACCGATATCAGTTGTCGTTGCCCAACCCTAACCCTGCTCATTGCCGCTGTCGCTCTTGCTCCCGTTGCTCGCCGCTGTCGCTGCTCGCAACCGCTACCGCTATCGCCGCTCCTGCTCCCGCTACCATTGCTCGCCGCTGCCGCTGTCGCTGGTCCCGCTCCCGCTGCCGCTGCCTCCTTACACTCCCGCTCCCGCTGCCTCCTTACACTCCCGCTGCCGCTATCTCCTTACATTCCCGCTCCCGCTGCTGCTGTCGCTTCCCCTTTTCTCAGTCAGCACCCTCTTACACTCTTCCTTCTTCTCCTTCTGTATACTGTTAACAGTATACAACAGTATACTGTATACTGTTAATATTGTTAGATTTATTTGAAATTATTAATTTTGATATTATGATTTTGTATCTTAGATTTTCTTAATTTAATAGTATATTTTTATTTAAAATTTTAAATAATTATATTATATATTTTTATATTTTAGCGCCTCGCTTCGCTCAGGCGAGCGCCTAGCGCTTCGGGCGTTGGACCTTAGCGCATTTTAGCGCCTATCGCTTTTTAAATCACTGAACTAGACTAGTAGTTCACATTAGGAGTGCAACTTGTGAAAGGAGCCACGGGCCCATCACAATGTGGAGCCACCAATGAACATAGTCTAGCATATTTACATCATGTATGGTCTCTCATAATATTTAATCATATTGATTTCTTGATGTATGCATGAGTAATTGGATGAGTGTAAATGAATGATCATGGATGTTTATGTATCTCTGCCGAGGGCAGGTATGGCGATTCCCTTCGGGGATTAGCAGGTCGTCAGACATGATGGTTAGACGATTCCTCCATCCGCTGTTGGGAGGAACATGTCCCCACTTGGGCGGGTGAGGGATACCACTCCATCTGCTGTTAGGAGTGCGATATGGATTATCTCCATCCGCTGTTGGGAGGAATCCATCCCATGGAATATGCCTCTTCATCTGTTGTTGGGAGAGTGCACCATTGGGTGATGTACGCCTTTGTTATTATGTATGTGTTGCATGTGGCTGATGCATGATTTTGTTTATTATGTAAGAAATTATTATTTTTCTGATGCATAAGTTTTATGATGAATAGATATATTTTCTTATTGAATTATTGATACTTGTTTATATTTCATGAATATTGAATATTAACTTTATAATTTTTCTGAGGTTCCTACCTGCATGTGTGGTTGCTAATATGTTTTTATTTTATATCTATTTTCAGAGTAATTTACTACTGTGTAATAGATCTGAAGCTTGGATGGAAGAGACTTGTGACCCTATCAAGAAGATGTTGTCATTTTTTCTGGTTAATAAAATATTTACTACTGTAAAGACAGATTTGAATTCAAAGACGAATGAAAAGAAAAGGAGAAAGTTTATTATATAAATTATGGATAATAAAATACTGATTTATTATTCTTTTTATAAATTCGGGATGTGACAATCTAGGACTTAAAACATGACAAAACAACTTGAACAGTTTTTAGTTAAAGTACAAAGTTGCATTACCAAAGACAATAGTTAAAATTAAAGGCTAAAAAATTCTAGGTCTACCACTGAAGAAAATTCAAAATCTAAAAAAATAATACTGTTAATAAATCTAAGGTTTATCTGTTTAACCAACATGTGAATGGAGCTCATGGATGTAAATCAATAAGCATGCATGCAACTTATGTTTGTATGACATCCTTCCTCATGTCCTTTTCCGTCATTACACAATCATAGAGAAAGACCCTTCAACTAATTTATGGAATATGCATTGTGCAGGAAGTTTAACGTTTTATGGGACTAGTCAACTTTCAAAATTTTCAAAATGACAAAGATCAAAGTTGACATCATAAATATGTAGATAAAATCACCCAAAAGGCAATGACACCTTAAGAGTAAAAAAAAATTATGTGATCTTTATGCAAAATGGAAAACACTTATATTTATCTGATTGAACATGAGAAAAGCTAAGCCACTTGTTGTATGGAAACCAGGCAGCATGATCTTTAAAGAAAAGCATTCCAGCCAACATCATGTGAAACGGAACAATTAGATTATCTTCTGATGAATGTATTCAAACGCTACCAAGTGGTTAGGCTCTCCAAAGACATGGCAAACAATAAGCACAGCAAAAGCAGACCTGTGCTTCAAGCTTATTAGGAATGGTTTCAAATGCCAGCAAATCTGGGCCAGCATCTACAAGAACTTGCAATCGTCGCCTGTGAAATTCTTTCAGTTTCTCCAAGTTCATATCTGGTCCATAATGCCCACTGCCATGCTTAGACAAGATGTCCATTAGACATTCAGACATATGTTTAAACAAACTAATAAAAGAAGAATAAACAAACAGATTCTCATTTTCTGTTCAAAAGTTCTTGTAGCCTATATTTCTATGAAAGTAACAAGATATTGCATTTTCTTCCTTATCGCATGGAAGTTAGATGCTCTCTTGGTGATTCTGAACAGTGGATGTAACTAGGACATCATGCTTCCATACTCGATTTCAACCCAGAATCCATCTTTAACACAGGCGGGAAAGGGAGGCATCTACCAACTGGGAGAAGTCCACTTGCAACCCCATAAACATCCAGAGCATGGATCTAAAGCTTGTAGCATGCTGGTTTAGGAAACATGCACATATAGGACTTCATGCATGGGGTTCGGATGGATCCACAACTACATCATTCATGTTCAAAGACCCTCAGACCTGGGTTTGATGTGATAGCCTATGCCCCTTGGTCTGCACCCCATGTGATCATTAGTTTTTTGCAATAATGAAAAAGACAATATTGGAAAGGTAGCAAACCTGGACCTATAAACAGAAAAAACTAACAAGACCATCTCAAGCTTTTGTAGTGTTCACAAGCAGATAAATTGACCTTAAAACATCACTTTAAGTCAATCTATCAGTGTCCATCACATAATCACAAGTGCATCTTAACTGGTATGCATGAAGTTTTGCAACCCTTCCCTCCTACTCCGATCCAAATGTATGTCTTTGCTCCATCCTTGATCATCAGTGAAGGTAATTGAACATGCTTGTGCAAGAATAGTTATGTGTAGATCACAAAAGAGCACTCTTATCTATCCAAAGACCACAGGATAATTAACTAAAGTAGTCACAGCAACTCATATGTTCTATAACAGATACCTATATTCTGAACCATCTGCAAGATAAGCTCCATAGCTCCCAATTGAAGCTGCCACCAAAGCACGAATATAGTAGTTGTCAGCATTGAGTTTCCAAAAATTATCTCGGGCTTCAAGGGCCAGTTTGACACTTTGTTGAAGTAACAACTCTCCTTCTTCAATGGAGAAACCTTTGGACAAAAATCCAGGAATTGTCGCCTGTAACAGAAGAAGGGGCAAAAGGAACCAATGACCACAAAATAGAAAATATCAGATATACAGATGGACTAACTATTGTTCTTTGAAAAACTATGAAGGAGGTTTTGGAAGAAAATGAATGATGGAACAAATTGATCTGTCTCCAAACACACAGAACTATAAAGCCCAACATTTATCTAGATGAATATTCCAATAAACGAGAAATGGATCTACTGAGCACAAGAGAACTGATTCAATAGGTATATTGTCCTAGATACAGAAATTCAACTCAAGTTTCAATGCAGTCCTTGTGCTCCTCAAATCCTAGGAAATACAAGTTGGATTTGTCCACCTGTCCAAAAAAACTACTAAAAGAAAATAAATAGAAAACACATAGGGATACTGAGAAGAGGTTCTGTTCTACCTCCTAGTAAGTCATGATATTGAAAGATGAGAATTAAAACAAAAGGACATCATAGTTTTCCTTTGTTAGGAAGCTTTGAAGGGAACTGAAGCTGCCCTTCTATGCATGATGATCCATTCCAAAGCATATACCTGTTCTAGTGCATGTGCCATATACAGGTAGATGACAAGTGAGTACTTGAATGTTGTCTCAGGTTGTAATTTGCTATGAATTGCTTTAGGGGTCAACTACTCATACTTTCTAAATTTAATTTTGTTGGGATGCTTTCTTCTGTTTATTTCTTTTGTTAAACCAAGTCTAAACATTCAGTTGTCGACAGACAAACATTTCATAAAACTGATGAAAATGGAGATACATGTTAACAGACTGCAGTTTGGTAAGTCAGCTGATACTAAGGAAAGACATTAGAGAATCGCTGATCTCTCTACAGGAGATCAGTTAACAGATGCTATTACTGGTCATGCAGTTTTGAGCCTACTGTTTAGGATGATAGACAAGAAGAACAATTCAAGATGAAGCAACCGGTTCTTTAGGAAGTCCTGTATATACCTGAAGAACACGGACAGACCACAGGATACTGAACTATGCAAGACGTAAGGGAAGAAAAATCTGCAGGCACCAAATTTGGGAAGATTAATAGAAACAGATAGTTAGAAGGTCTATTTTGAAGGTCTTTTATTGGCTGATACCTAAAAGAAATTTTTAAGGGAATGTAACAGATTGGTTTCTTTTTGAGACAGTAAAGCCTTTTATTCTTGGGAGTGTTACTTTTAATGATCATAAAGGTAAAAGCATGTCATTCATTAAATATCGTAAGTATAATTACAGAAAGAAAGCCCAAACTTTCCAACATAAATTTTGCCATGCCATTCAAATATGAAAAGTCTGCAAGGATTATGAACATTTGCAGGCACCTTTCAGAATTAATGTGAACTCCTTAAGTTGTTTATGAGAATTATTCACAATTCTTTTGACTATATGAAATATATTTTATTATAATTTTAGTAACTTATTTAAGACTATCAGAGGGACAGGACACCGGATTGCATTCATAAATTTAATAAAAGTTACTAGATACTGGTCAAAATCATGGCCATAAAGGCCTGCATTGTGCTTGCACTCCATAAACATATTACTTTTGACTTTCATCTTGAGTGAAATATTGTTGTGCTTCTTCATTTAGACAATAAAAACAACAGTAAATACATATAACTATATTATCCTAAGAATATATACATTGACACTGTAATAAACTACTCATTTTGCAGGGGATCTCATGTTCTCCACTGATCAGTAACCAAGTAAAGTCATTCATATCGGCCATGGCATTCATATGATCATGTGTCTGACTAACAAATGAGAATCATCTTTGCCTACATATTTTAATGCAATATAAGATGAATTTTGTTGATATATATTACCCACTAGAATATAGGCATTGAGTTGTCTGATTAGAATACCAAAAGTTATTTTGTACAATCACATACCTGATAAGATGATGTCACCAGTATATCAGCACCTGCTTCAAGGTACTGAAGATGAACCTGCATGTGGTTTAAGTGCAAAATGGTTAACTGCATGATGAGAATATCTTTGAAAAATGGAGAGCTAACTTAAGGGAACAAATAGTATTACTTAGAGCAGAAAAGGAACTGCCAAAGACTTTTGGTGACATATAGCTAGAACAATAAGACATTAATTTCATAATATGTTTTTCATGTTATTTCATGTTCTATATGTCATTTAGAATAATCACATAGCACGATTGTTCTTTGGAATTGCAATTTGATTTGTCTACAAAGTACTTTTGCAACAGGTAAGTGTCATGTTTTCTTCATCAGCATAATTGGTTATGGTAGTGACAAGATGAGCTATGCACTGCAAAACATTATTCATGTCAGAATGCTAATGGTAATCTGTTCAGCTGTTGTGGATCACTTTGCTTCAGAGCTGTAAATGAGTCTGTTGACAAGTTGGATGAATGCTTGATCATGCACCTTAATACATTTTCTGGTGTAAGCATGCCTAAAGATGATTCTGCCAGTAGCCAGTAATAGAAGAAGAATGGGAGTTTTGGGATGTCAAGCTAGTAAAGAAGCTGAATTTTCTTCTTGTACTACTCTCTTTTTGGATTTATTCCTCGACTTTCTTGCATATCTCACAATTCTCTTTTGTCTCTTTGTTTAACTATGCTGTATCAGGCTATCAGCTTCATGGTAGAGCTAGAAGGTTATAAGCTTCAGAAAATTACTTATTACAAACTATATAGAAGACACATATTTGTTTGATTATGTCATAAAGCAGGTAACATCTGACAAGTTCCTCAAAAGTACGTGTTTCAACAGCACTGATGGAATGCCATATTTCATGTCTTTTACATATATCCTAATTGATATTTTTTGAATTGATACTTTTCAGTTTTCCAAATAAAGATGCAACCATCAAAGATTAGCTGGTATATGTCACATTAGAAAGGGCTTGAGATTCAGGCTTCAAAGGAGTCAAGTCAAGACTTGAAAAGAAATAGGACATGTATTGTGACTTTGTGAGATTGATGACTGACCACCAGCATATTCATGGTGTTCCTCTCCAGATCTAAAAATCATTTATTCATTTATCAAAGTTCTTCTTCACCATAGTAGGCTCTCCATAATACTAAGGTTTCAAATTTCACTTTCAATTAAAATGGCATATACTTTTAGTCTTTTCTTGCGTGGATGGGTTATCTACTGTTGTTACACTGAGGCCGTCGACTAACGAGTCAGCTCGGCTTGGTTCAACGTCGAAAGTGCAGGTCCTTCCTAGGGAGCTGACGTGGAGAATTGTTGTAGAGAGCTGGCCTGCACGGAGCTGGCGGGAGGCACTGGCGTAGAGAGCTGGCATTAGGTGCCAACGTAGAGAGCCGGCATGGGGCGCTGGCGTAGAGAGTTGGCGCGAGGCACCGGCATAGAGAGCTTCCCGCCTGTGGGGGGAACGAACTGGTCTGGGAGGGCAGACCGCCTTGCCCATGAGGGAGTCGTCTTGTAGTGCCTCCTCAGTTGCGCTGGGGATCCTACACGACAAGTCAGCGCCAAGGGATGTCCCGACGTGTCCCCTCTGATGCTTAAGTCAGAAAGATGGGGAAGAAGAGAGTTAGCAATACTTAGAGAGTGTGGTGTTCACCCCTTGCCCTTGTTTGGCTTGGGACTAGGTTTTTATACCTGGGCGCCTGGCGACGAGGACGGGGATTGGTGAGGTCCCCCCTACCCTGTTTGTCAAGGGCCATTAATGGAGGCGGCTTACCAGCGCGTCGTCCCAAGGCCGACGTTGATGTTGGGCGGTTGGGATGGCGATCCCTGTACGAACTTTTACCCGCTTTGAGTCAGGCAAGGAGTGGTCCTTCCTTCGGTCGTCCGGAAGGGAGGTGTGGGGGAGGCGAGCCATGCCGTCGGCCATTAATGCGGGGGCATGGCCCTTTCAGCGAGGAGTGGTCCTTGCGGGCTTTTTTCGGGAAGCTGGGACCAGTAGGGATCGTGGGTTGGTCCCTTGTCGGCGACTGCAGGGAGTTGGTGGGAGCTCCTATACTTTTGCTTAAATGGCCTGCTCGACCCAAGTGGCAGGATGAGTTGATAATGTTAGTACTTTCCCTATCACCTACATAATTACAGTTTATGTGAGTATGCTGAGAACAGCGAAAAATGGACTTATACTTGCCTGACATCAAAATCAAATCCAGATTTTGAAAAACAGATGTATGCCTATGTTGCAAATGAAAATAGGATTTCCTCATGTTGATAGTCAACATGATACGGGGAGAGACCTTGTTATACTCAAATAGGAAATGATCTGACGTGGCCTTTTAGTTGCCAAATGTGATCAATCGTTCATGAACAAATAAAAAGAAGCTTTTTCTTTTCCTATATCTTGCTCATCTCCTTGCGCTTTGCTCCATGATACTATTTCTTCTTCGATCTGATATGTGTATACATTTATACCTCTAACAAATATTGAATATTATATGAGACACCAATATATCAAAATGCTAGTTGCACCTAGCAGTGTTTGCCGTTAGCGACGCCAATCGGGTATATGTCACATACTTTAGATACCCAATACTTCAAATCTTGCAACTTCCCAAATTTTGGTATGTCCAATACAAACGCATCAACATGTTCCTCCCGGGGATTATGTAGCGAACCTTCTCGTAGAACCTCGATACAAAATTTTGGTATGTCCCTCCCCCCCCCGGGGATTGTGTAGCCAACCTTCTCCTAAAACCTCGATACATATTTAATATCCAAAATCACCATGAACGCCATCTATTGTCCCCAGAAAATAACGGATCTGGCATCTTCATCGTTCCCAACTTGCAGCAACAAACGTTAATTAGCGAGGGATTATAACCTAAGCTTAAACCAATCCGGTGCATCAGAAATAAGCAAGGTATCACCTGTTTGATGAGGTGGGGATCTGAGATGAGGCAGCGGGCGCTCCAGAGGGGACCGTTGATGTCGGCGCCGAGCGCCTCCAGCTGCGTCGCGAGGCCTCCGTCGATTACGGCGACACCGCAGTTCCTCTCGATCAGCTCCTCGACCAGACCCGTCCTGGACCCCATCTTCCTCCTCTCCCTCTTCCTCTTCGAAACCCTCCAGCGCTAAACCAAGCGGCGGTCTCTCAAAGGACGGATGAACTGAGTCGATGACGTTCTACTGACAAAATTATAAATATGATATTTTATGAAATACTCATGTAACGCTAAAATATGTCTGTATCTTTTTATTTTATTTATATTTTACAGGGGATTGATAGTAGACTTAGCAGTTTTGATCGATTTTGGTGGTCACTTCAGACTTGTAATTTTATACGAAGGTTATGTTATGAGGACGCTTATAAGCATTTTGATATGTAATAAATCATTTTGAATCATTTATTATATGAATGGCAATTATACTTGATAGTGCTCAAGGCCGAACAATATGTTAAGGCGGCTTCATGTGTGGTTAAGTCTTAATTAAAGTGATTTGGAGTTTAATTAAGTTAGTTTTGGATCGTAACCATGTCAAATTAATTAGAAATCCATTAAACTTGAATCAGGAAATTGAGCCTATTGAAATGTCAATTCAGTGACCTGGGATTAGGTAGGCAATGATACCGCTAGGCCCAAGTGGTGATACCGCTTGTGAGTTAGAAAGCATATATTGTACTTTTTCCAAAAATCTTGATGGTAGTATTGCTAGTGTCAACAGTAGTACCGCCTAAGTCAACGGTAGTACCGCCTAAGCAAGTGATGGTACCACAAGAGCCCAGGTTCTCAAGCTCTGTACGACTGTAGTACCGCCAGTACCTCGAAAATCCGAGAATTAAAATTTTTGACTCCATTTTTAAAGTCATTTGAGATCAGTAAATACCTCACTCATGCTTACTTGGTGAAAGCATGAAAATCTTGTGATTTGAAGTGTGTAAACTCTCTTGAAAGGTGTTGAGTCTCATTCTCTTAAGTTTAGAAGTCATTGTAAGGGCGGTGTGAAGTTTTCTTGTAAAAGAGAGGAGTGAAGGTTCTCTCCTAGGCCTATAAAAAGAAGAAAGGGTTGAAATAAGGGTAGTTGATCTTCATCCATTGAAAAGAAGATCAGTAGTGAAAACCAATAGCCTCGAGGGAAAAGGAATCGGAAGTGGATGTAGATCCGGACGACCGAACCACTATAAATCGATTTGCATTTCTTCTCCTGCCTTGATTTACTATTGTATACTAATTTACTTACTAAGCTATCCTTACTTACATTTTTTTATTAATCACATTCTTAATACAGATTTATTGATTGAACTTTCAAATCGAAATTTTATTTCAAAAGCACTAATTCACCCCTAGTACCTTTACGATCATAACAAGCACCATATAGCATTAAAACTTTCTCTTCCGGCATGAGAAAGATCCATCCGTAAGAGGATAAAGTGTGCAGCAAGTTCAACGTGTTGCTACACCTTAAGAGATATCGCTGGGGTTGTATTAGCAAGGAGTCGCAATCTAGTAAGTGCATTTATGGAGGCATAATAATGCACAATTTGTTCGGCAAGGTGGAGTAGTACAAGGGGATGATGGTCTCCGAAACTTCCAGAGGGAATGATGTGAAGAGATAGATATTCGGGAGAGATAAGTCATGGTTCTTCAAAGGGAGAATCATATGCAATGGACCACATATATTAAGGATGAGTACCTCAAAACAACAACTCCACAAAGCCCAACGGACTGAGCAAGCGACAAGGAGTATGCTAGTCATAGGTGCCCTGCAAGCCAATCAAGTGAGTGATGGCACGTGTGACTTGACATGCAGTCTTTTTTGCTTATTATATTTTGATATTTTATTACTTTATATTGATTGTTGTATATACATATATTGTGATGTCCATAGATTTGTGCAATGAGAATCAGATCGTGATAAGATCACGATAATAAGACCAATTCGTCTTTAAACACAAATCCTAAATAATCCCGGTCATAGGTTACTCGAGAGGGACATTAAGATAATCGGACAAACTAGTGTGTTGTATACCCGTTCATATGATGGATACAGATGGTCTTATAGCTGCTCGTATGGGGACACTAGGGATACAGTACGGGTGCTCATTGGAGAATGAGTTCACTGATTGATCCGCTTACAAAATGTTGGATGGTTGATGATACCTTATTATCAGACAGTGATTCCGTAGTTCCAGTGGTATATCTGGTCCTTAGACTTGAGATACCAAGAATGTCATGTATAAGTTCTTCATTCTTTGATACCAGACTTATGGGTCAGGAGGTTCTAGATCTAGCATAGCCGGTCATCGGGAGTAATAGCCAACATTACAAGGGCTATTGAGTGTCAATAGAGGATCATCCACTATCGATGTTATGAGAGGAATATCTCATGTATTCTTACTCAGAAAAATCCCTAGTCAGGGTCATTCGAATTGAGAGAGAAAGAGTTCTCTAGGAGAATCTGATTATAACGAGACTCAAGTAGAAATCGTATATGTCTAACAGCACTATGCCTGGTATACAGTCTCTAGGATATTAGATAGATGAGAGACTATATTATTACGGTAATTGAGGATAGATAGGTTCAATGAATTGGATTCCCTTGTATCGTCTACGGACTGCAGCATTGTGGCCTAGTACGTTTGCAGTCGATGAGTCGAGCGAATTATTATTGAGATAATAATTCACTAAGCTAGAAGGAATTATGACATGTATGACTCACGGCCAGCTCAATATTGGGCCTAGAGGGTCACATATATATGATAGGCATTGCGATGAGTAGATGTTCAGATATGAGATATCCGTCGGAGCCTCTATCTTATTGGATATCCAATAAGCCCCTGAATTATTGGATCATATGGATGAGATCCAATAAGAGCCAATGAGAGATTATTGGATAGAGATCCACTAATCTAATAGGCTTGGGTAGTTGGATGGAGATCTAATACCCAATAGGGTAGGATCCATTAGGGTTAAGTTGACATGAGACCTCTATAAATAGGAGGGAACTAATGGTTCATAGGCTAGAGCCTTTTTAGATTCTCATCTCTTATTCTCCTCTCCCCTTCTCCTCCTCGAATAGCAAATCTAGAGATTTGAGGAGCATCGTCGTAACCTTGCTGTGTGGATCACTGCTAGAGAGGAGGACGCTTAACCTCCTTCACCCTCTCCTATAGATCTATAGGGATTCAGAGATATATGATCTCCCTAGGTAACATAATATTTTATATACGTAGTTTTAAGTTTCACGATTTTGCGAACTAATCTTCGCATGACGACGAACACATCTTTGGGAAATTGAAGATTTTGTTTTTAATGTTCTTCCGGTGCGCATATGATGTCACTCCTAGATTTCCCTATAGAGTCATTACATGATATCGCATGAGGTAATGTATTGATTAATGCATTGCGAGATCAAGTGGGGAGCAACATAAGGCAATACCAAATAAAGGCACACTTAGAGCCGATATGGAGATCGGACCTAATAGAGGGTTGACCCATGGTGGGCATGAGAGCCACCAACAACTCAATGTAAATGAAGAAGCGGAGCAACTTATGTGTAACATGGTGAAGTACCTAAGCTGTATGACGGAAGTCGACATAGAAGATGAAACATGGAGCGAAAGCACAATGCTTTCCTAGACGGAGGTCAAGAATATGAACTTTTGTAGAGGCAAGAGCACGATCATGTTGTTCCATGGGTCCCTCATTCTGATATAGCATACTCATCTTGCATGGTGGCAAAGATGAAGGGAACTTCGAGACACACGCACCTTATCTCGGAGATGCATTTGACGAAGAACCAAGGCGACTCAACTTGCGAATGTGAAGTTGGGGTTAGAAGGCCTTAGCATTGGACAAGAGGATATGAAGGCGGGTACTCTTAAAAAAATACACCACATTGTTACCATTCAAGTTGCCATGAAGGAAGCAATGCACAATGAAGATTATGCTAGTGGGGGTAGAGGCCTAGATCCAAATAATGGTACAACAATTTCAGCGAAGTCGATGGACTTCAGGAGCTGCTAAGCGATGGACTATCCTAGAGTCATGCTTCGTCTGGATGTGGCTCGAGGGCAGGTGGACGAACGTTGATTATCAAAGGAGAAAATACAATCGAAGGTAGAAAAAGCATTGTAATATATTGGAAAAGGCCATGCATGAAGAGATCATAGTCCAAGTTTATCCCATAATGATCAGAATGTAATGAAAATATCACCAAGAGATGACATGGTGCAGTAGATTATGGTAGAATAGTTTGTGGCAATATGATACACACAAAACTAATCCCGCGAGAGATTATATCATACGAAAGTATGATTGTGAGCTATTGGGAGCTTCATATCGATGAACAATACGATGACAAAAAGGGTTATGGATTCAATAAATGAATGTCATGGTACTGCAGAGGCGAGTTTTCCGTGTATGCATCGAATTTTACATCAAATGAAAGTCTTGGTTATCGGTATTTGGGGGTTATATACCATTAAGGGAGGAGTTCGAATGCAAGTACCAATGAGTCCTATAAAGGGACTTAATCATACTGAGATATTATTAGGGCGTTTGGAGAGTTGGACTACTCCAGAGCTTATATTCACTTAAGGGAGTCCGTAAAGTCAAAGGACAAGGCCAAGTAAGCGAACGTTGCTATCAAGGAAACTAAGGAGAATAAAATTAATGTGAGCCCCTGCAACTTGATGGCGGAAGCCATGTATTAGAGTTACAATCTATCTTTCCATCGACAAAGGGGAATTACTCGAAGAATATATAGGTGTTGAAGTAGGTGGTCGAAAGGGGCGAGGAAGCAACGACAAGTGTAGAGGGACTTAGCTACCCAAAATCAAGTATCGGTTAAAATGGAGGTGGACTCGAAAGACTACCCACAGAGGCAGATCTATCGATTGTAAAGAAAGATATGTAGATGCGAGACAATGAATATTAGGACCATGGGTATGACAACGCCATAGTATTGTAGAGACGGGACTTTCATGGAGTCATCAATCCCTTGGTCTTATCGAGGGAGAGCGCTTGGTGATAAAAGAGGCCGAGGAGATAGAAAATACAGAGGCAAACTCTAAGTACTCAAACAAGACTAAAAGGCAGAGATAGCCAAAAAAGAGTCCGGTGTCAACGAGTTTCTCATTAAGATAGCCAAAAGTTGAGGACTTTGGGTTGTTGTAAGAGT